CCTTTAAGACCCCAGAGCAGCAATATTTTGCAGCAAGCAAAATATTTGGGGAACCACCACATTATAGGCTGACCACTGTGTTGCCTACATGTAGGGTCTGCAGAGGCCAAGAGAGGAGAGACTGGCCAGCAGGTGAGAACTCTCAGTTCACAGATGTGTGGGCCTGTTCCTACCTGGGAGATGTCTGATGCCAGCACTGGCCATTGCCTGAACTGCTTCAGGAGGAGGAGGGTTTCCTTCAGGTAACAGATTTAGAGACAGAGCTGGGGTACTAGATGTGAGGCCTGAGGAAAGAACAACTCCAAGACATCTTGGGTCTTCTGACTCACTGGCAGGAGCTGGTCAGGGGTTGGCACTTATACATATCTGTCACATGACAAATGATGGCATGGGATGGGGGAAGCTTGCTCCGAGGAGGTGAGATGACAATAAATAGCCTGTGGCATCTCTGAGAGCATCCCCATGGGTAGACACAAGTTACAGAAATGTAATCTGTCAGCCACCAGGGGGAGGCTGTGAAGACCCTACCACAGACTCAAGTTTGGGGAAGGAGAGTGAGGGTGGTGTGTGTGTGTGTGTGTGTGTGTGTGTGTGTGTGTAGGTACCTGGCCAGCCTCAGGTTCAATGACACCCAGACAAGGTTCCCTTCCTGCTGCTACCAAGTGGACTCTCAGAAGCCTCCAGGAGGGGGTTCAGCCCATCATGGAAAAGTCAATTCCCTGGGGCTCTTACTTATAACTTTGTTTGCAGATAGGGAGCCTTTTCCGCCTCGCTCCTCATCCCGAGCCTTTCTGCCTGTAACAATCACATTATTTAATTTAGACGAGTGAAGTTACCTTGGATCAATTATACTTATTTTTCCTGTGTAATTTCCAAAGCTTAATATCTGCATTCAGGCCCAGCCTGGGGGACAGCTTGTCTAGCAGAGTCCTAAACGATTTCAGCCTTTAATTCAATTGTACTTCTACCATGGCCTGAGCAGCGAGCATAATTCTTTTATCCCTAAGATGTCTCATTAGCAATAATCTAATAGCTCACATTAAAATATAGGTCACTGAGGTGGGCTGCTGATAGAAAACTTGTCATAACTTTGAAGGCTGGACAGTGGCTTTAGCGGGACTGGGTCCCCCCTGAATGCAGTCACACCCCTGCTTCAGGCTTAATGCTGAAGCAATTGATTCAACAAAACAGTTTACTTTCTGCAGTTGAAGGTTGAGAAATAACTTTGGCCCGGAAATGGGTTGATGTCTACAAATGATGGGTGGGATGAAGTAGAGGGCAACATTTCTTGTCAACATAACATAATAGGAAAGTTCTTTGGCCACAGACATTGGCTGGAATTTCATTCCAGGCATGACAGGAGCACACATGATGACCGGGGGGCACAGCTTGCTTTCCCTGGCCTCAGTTTCCATACTCATAAAAGGAAATGATGGTGAGGTCAGGTGCCATGGTACCTAGACTCTGGTACTCTGTGTTCCACTTGTCCTGGAGTGCTCTTGGTGTTTTCTTCCCAATCAATTTGCTTTCCCTAATCAAACCCATTTGTTTAAAGAAAGGAAATTCACATATCAACTTGGCAAAATCTCAAGAACATTTGCAGAAGGATTCATGCAGAATGATAGCGTTTACATAAACTTCCAACATACTCGAAGTGATGCTTTCTATTGTTTAGACAGGCAAAAGGGATTCATGCCATCAGAGGTCAAGGTAAAGGTTACCTTTGGGCAGAAGGGAGGGGATGCTCATTAGAAGTGTTGACAGGGTAACTTTTGTAAGGTTGCTTATTTCTTTTTAGTGTCCTTTTAGTAGTTAAATGGGTATATTTACTAGTTGAAAAGTTAATTGACAAGTAGTTCAGTTTTCTTTGAGTGTAAAGTCATATACACTGATACATCTATATAATATAGAACTTTAGGGCAACTCACATATTTTAGGAATATATATGCATATGTATATGTAATGATACATGGTAGGTATATTATGTACATCCATGTATAATATATGTTGCACAAATATGGATACGTTACATGTATTTAACATGTGGTGAATTTGCACAAACATTTATGCGTAGTAGCCTCTGAATCAGGCCACAGAGGATCTACTTGCAGTGACTGTCCTTGGAGGCTACATATCCACTCCTGAGGACAGCCCTTAGGTCATCTCCTAAGATCCCAGGCCCTTCACCTCCTCCTTCTCCCAACTTTTCCCATAGAAACGTGTGTTCTAGTACGATGCTGGGACCGAGTGTTAGAACTGACATTAACTAACCACCTCGCCCCACTGAGGCAATGGGACTAGCTGAGCTCCTCATAGAGAAGTGTGAACGTTGGATGACCTCTCAGTACAGGCCACAATGGCCTATGAAGAGACACCGTGATTCCGTTATCACTGAGAAATCAGCCTAATCTGGACCCTCCTCCACCTGCTGCTGTCAAGACTCTGCTTGGACCTATAAACTCTTCTTCTGAGTCTCCACCCTTTACAGCCAGCCCACCTGGTGTAATGAGTGGCTGATGAGTGTCACGTGAGGACAGGGGTGGAGTGAGGTGGGGTGAGGATCTCATTTGAAGTGTCAGGGGTCAAAAATCTGAAGTCTTAAGAGTCATGACTAACCTGTGCCAACCTAGAGTGGATATACAACCTGGGGTGGGGTGAAGTGTGTGTGGGGGGTCTTTTTCTTAGAATCCTTGGAGGAGGAGGAGGAGGAGGAGGAGGAGGATGCAGCAAAGGGAAATGGAGAGGAGAGGATGTCTTCAAATGTCAAAGTCTTGGCAAGTGGGTACTGCCCAGGGAGGAAGAAAAGGGGATAAAGAGGATAGCATTTGGGGTAGGTTCTAAGGACAGTGGAAGAGATGGGCCTAAGAGCCTGGGAAGATCTTGTGAACCTTGAAAAGGAAGAGAGATGGAGAAGGCAGTAACTGACAGGTAGATGTTATTTGTGTTCAGAAATGCATCAGCCTCAAGGTTACTAGCCAAAAAGGATGAGCAGGCAGAGAATCAAAGGATGGAGAACTTGGACAGGAAGAGCCATCAAGTTGCTGGGCCCCTGGTGAAGAGTATCTACCCTGGACTCGAATCCCACCCAGTCCCACTCCAGCCCCACAACCCAAGACAAGGCACTTTTGGCCCCACTATTTAATCTGTGAAATGGATTTAATGCCAATAGTGAATGTCATGTGAAGCAGACTCAGCACAATGCCTAGAGTCACTTTGTCCAATGGATGATGAAGTACTACACCGCTCACTGGGATCCATTGTGTGTTTAGTGTTCATTCAGCATTTAAGCTTCATGGCTACTCAATGAGATAGATTCCATCATGATCTTGTTTCAGAAGTGAGAAACCAAGTTACCCAGCAGCCCCAGGGTAAGTGGGTGCCCAGGTTTAATCCCATGTTATTAATAGGAAGGTCGAAAGCTCCTACGCTGGCTTGTTATGTCAAGGAAGGCAGGAGGCTGGGGCTTCTGGTTTTTACAAACGTGTAGACTCCTGGCCTCAGCTGCAGGCTCACTCAACCCAGTGGTCTAGAACAAAGCCCGGGAGTCTGCTAGAATGGGAAGATCTTGAGAAGTGCAAACAGGCAACCATGGTGAGCCTTGAAACCATAAGTCCTACTGGTACCACAGAGCCTAAAACTCCATGATAGGTGCCATCATCATACCCCTTTTATGGGTGGGGAAACTGAGATTCAGAATCTGAAGATCACCCAACAAACAATGATATGAGGCTCTGAAGTCAGCTTTTAGTTCTAACTCCAAAAGCTGCACTCATGGCAATAACAACAGCCCATGGTTTCTATCTCATTCTGGTCATGAGGGTTGAAGCTAGGTAGGCCTAACTTAAAATTCTC